GTGGCGGTGGAATGTCCGGCGGTCCGCCAGATCGCGGATACGGCGGTAACTCGCGCGTGGGAGGCGGCGGTGGCGGCGGCGGCGGCGGCGGTGGCGGCGGTGGCGGTGGCGGCAGCGGTGGCGGCTACGAAGGTGGCCGCGGCGGCGGTGGATACGGCGGCGGCGGGAACCGAGGCGGACCGCCACCCTACGGCGGCGGAAATTACAACGGTAAGGAAGAATCCCGATGATCCATTGCGCCGAAGATGATGAAACATCTTTTAGCGTTTGAATTGAGAAGTCCGGGGATCCTTAATCGCGTGAGAAACATTAGAATAAATCCGATGGGAATTAAGATACTAGTGATGAACATTCCGTTAAATTGCCGCGCGTCGTCGAAGATGTGTGCACACGTGACACACGAGTCCATTAATGTTCCTTTTGTCGCAGGTGATGGATGGGGAATGCAAGGAGGCGCGCCCAATGGCTTAGGTGGCGGCGGTAACCCGGGGATGGGTGGCCCACCTATGGGTGGAAACAATCAAGGCAACCAGAGTAACATGAGTGGAAACAAGACTAGCACTCAGGTCACCATTCCTAAAGACGTAAGTCCATTATATTTACTTCCTGTGTTTCTTTCACTCCCCTTAAAAGTACGAGTATTGGTTTTGTCTAATCGCGAGTTATTCGATTATAATTGCTTATAAATTGGAATAAAATATATGTGATCTTTTTTTTCACGTAATAAAGAAAATGTTCTTACTTACAGTTGGCCGGGGCCATAATCGGCAAGGGTGGTGCGAGGATCAGAAAGATCAGATCCGACAGTGGTGCTGGAATAACTATAGACGAGCCACTGCCTGGCAGTAATGATCGTATTATTACTATTACCGGGATTCCCAGTCAGATACAAATGGCCCAGTACCTGCTGCAGCAGAGGTAATTATTACGACATTATGTATTGTTACCTTATTGCTAAATGTAGGTATATATCTGCTTCTCATCTCATGTTAACACAAACCGCTGTCTTTACATCATGTCGGCAAAATTTAGAATCAGACATACTTAATGTTAATTGCGCCCTCAAATAAAGACGAAGCTCTTGATTAAATCCTCCTAAAAAAAAAGAGAAGACGTATATTACGAGATCCTGTTGATATGTTTGTAACCTTACATTTAAGCATGTACTTTTAATTATGTCATAAAAATTATGCGATATAACAGCTTGTATGATATTGTAATTCGTATCATTTAATGCGCTGCTACTTTGGTATAATTTTGCGAAGCTTTGCATAACACTTTTATATAATGAACAAAAAAAATTTGTTATAATAAAATCGAAGAAAAACAAATTACCATCTACATGTACGTAATGTTACGTATTTACGTCTTGTATCTCGAATGATAAAAATAACTTTATGAACTATTTATAAGAGTGCAAAATCGAGTCAATCTGGTATTTTTGTTCTGAGCGACATATGCAACATTTAAACTCTTCGATTTTATATGCCGTACTCGATCGTCAGAGTGTTTTTCTCCGCCGTTCTTTGCGCGATAATAGTTCCTTCGTATTTTATCCGCTTCATAACCAGCATCGCCGCCATCGCATCGGGTCATCTCATCTCACCTCCAGGAACTAACACAATCCGACTAACCAAACGAACGAGATGAATATAACACTCGCAATGGTGGAGGACGGAAATAAAGGAGAACGACGCGCTAGAGAATCTCTAGCCCAGCGTAAAGGAAAATGGAGCACCGTTGTATGGAAGACTAGTGATTTTGTTGTTCTACTTTCGATGTAACAAGGAATCACTAATCATCCTACAAAGGCGCTCGCAAACGCCGCCTCTCCGAGACCTGCTTTTGGAACTAACATCACTCCCGCTGCGCTCCGTTTGCTCATCGACGCGTCGTAATTTTGCTCGAATGAATAGTAGTGACAATATGACTATAATCATCGCGGTCAGAGTAATCTATACGCCGCCGTAGTATCTACTTATGTTCGGATCGTCACGGATCTTTAATAATGCTATTCCAATTCCGTTCTGTTTATACTAATACGATTAAGGCTTCGAGAGCGCTATCGTTATTGCGTATTCAAGTACATTTGTAGCATTGCTCAGATATCGTTAAATTACTGCTTTCAACGATTATTTAATCTTATTTGTGCGACATGAGATGCTTGCATTATCATTCTGCGCTTTTACTTGATCCACTGTAAAGTCATTTTTCAAATATAGGCTATTTAATAGCTTGTGAGAGAGCTAAAATTCTGCAAGTTGATATATAGAGAAAATGTATATCTAACCATATCTTTTTAATTCACTTTTTCTTCCTCGTCCTCGAATTTCCTACAATTTCGATGATTGTCAGCACTCGAGTGAACGAAATCTTCGCTATTTTTCTGTTTCAGCGTACACGAGAATGCAGATCATTACTAAGTGGTGAAGGATGCATTCGCGGGAGGGGGGGAGCCAAAGATGCGCTTTTGTAACTTTTTTTTAGTAATATTTCTTGGGCAAACACATAAACGCTGAAAGTGGAAACTGAAACAAGTATGTTGGCAAGCACCCGCTGTAACACGTGCGAAGAAACCCGGGATCCATACGCAACTTCTGGCGACAAGTTCTGCGTGCGAGATAAACTGTAGGATTTACATACATACACCGCACCACACGCGAGTGTCACCCTCTCCCAGAAAGAAAAAAAAAAACAAACGCTTGTGGTTGATGCTAACGTGACCTTGACATGGCGAGATACTATTTTCGAGAATGGTAGTCGTCCATTACAGCCTGCAGAGAATGCTCTCCAACGAGAAATATAAATCGACTTCTTCTGGGGTGGTTTTTATCGTCCAATCTCCGATCGTCCCAAGTATGATATTAAGATGTTATATAAATTTACAATCTCTCGAATTAAAACGAAGACCTCTTATTCGACATTTATAAATCTATATAGCGTACTAAAACAGCCGACTTGTATTTTTCTGCTGGGGAGCAACCAAAGTAAATCGATTCACCAATCGAGCACCGTTTTTGACGTCGGCCTTTTTTTAAATATAGAACTCTCTTATTTGTATCATGTCGGAGATACTGTCGATACGACAGCGGGGGGTTTCAAACTGGCGAGCAATCGCACCGTGTTCCCCGATGTTAGCATTCCCGAGAAAATGTATTTATCACTCGAAAGAAATCCAAATTCTTTTTTGTAATGACCGTAATGGCGCGCGCCATTATTCCACGGGGAAGAGCCAATCTCCTTTTTCTCTTTTTTCGTTTTTGATTATTGTCAGATCTTGTCCTTTTCGCCCAACGGAATCAATGTGTTTTATTTTCGAACCGTAATAGTGTGTTAACCAACAATCGAGACGTAGGCGCGAGACAGCCAATTTGAAACCGTTTCACGCGTAAGCGGCTCTCCTGAACATCGAGACTTGACAACGCACACTTTTCTCATTACGTTTCTTTCCAGCTTTTTGATAAATTCTTTACAAATTCTAATCCTATTGAAATAAGAGTAAATGCGCATAGAGTGAATGCGAGGGCAACAGTGTCGAAGGAACGGGAGAGATCGCAGCGAGGAAGAGCGAGAGAGAGAGAGAGAGAAAGATTTCATTAGATAAATTTGCAAGAAGAAAAACTGATGATATATTTGCGATGAGAAACTGTACATAAGATCCTGACGCCTTTTTCCCCTCTTTGATTGCCGCATACACCGTTTCTGCTGTTGCATTATTATTATGATACATTATAATTATTATTAATTATTACTACTTATATATATATATATAATTTATATATATATATATATATATGTATAATTTATATATATATATAATTATAATACGATTATTATAATAGAATATTTTTGCGTTATCGTATCCCACCCCAAATCTGTACTAATTATATCTTTATCTATATAGAAGACGCATAAAAATGGCGTTCTTAGTGTTATGCGATAATGAGTAAAACTATTTAGGCTTAATTAATGATGAGACATAAATAAAGGGGCGCCATCGGCGAAGAGGGAACGTTGATTTAGAGGATGATAAAATCGAAACTGACTACAACGATATCCGATATGCTAGTAACATTTTAATAAATCGATCAAGTCCACTAATAGGTTTTCCTACGAGCATGATAGAAAAATTATGTTTCTCAGTTTGTTTTTTATTTGCTCTAAAATTATTTTTCCGCATTACAATGTACAGAGCTTCGCAAGGAACCTGCGAATTCGAGTTTAATCGACTATTATTCTGAAATCACGACGCTGTTGCCGCCGGTGTATTGCATTAAATGCTATCATCATGATCACCCTCGTCGATGTCCAAAATCTCATCTAAGATTCTCGTGTAAAGATATGATTGCAGTCTCGCAGATAACAGCCGGATTCGGCGTACATAATCTGTAAATATATCTCTAACATATAGTACTACATACTAGTACTCTTGAAACATGTGCGATTGCTCGAACGGTTGTATTTTTAAACAAATAGATAAATTCTGCCAAGTGCAATTAAAGGATTGTGCTGAAAAAAATGAGCATTGTTCAGTACAGCCCTGCGAGCAATCGTAATGGAAAAAATAAAACCGCCCCGAATAGTTTAATTTAACTCACGAAAGCAAATGCGCCTAAATATAGTTAGGTAATGTCCTCGAAACGCGCACGCTGGGAGATCGAATTGTCATGATGTTATGACAGACTATATTAAAACCAGTACAACCCTTTGATTAAAAAGAAGGATTGAAAAAGAAAAAAGGAGCGTGATCGACGTAATTCCAAACGTGACGTATTCTGGTGGAATCGCCGTTTCCCGTTTTCCCGCCACCGATGGTCAGCCCCGAGTTAATTCGTAAATACCCCCCTTTTTTTTCCTCTCTCTCCTCTGAATACATTTTAGTCTGGTCAGTAAACGCCACCCCCTCACTAGGGTGCCTACAAGGGGCATTTTTAAGCATCTGGAATCGCGGCGAAATGTCCATTACAGACGCGTAATCGACCAGTAGGCGATGCGACACGTCCGTCGCGCTTTTAGGACCGTCGCGTGTGTCGTTTTACATTAGGGACGTGGCGCGAGTTGATCGATGAACATTCGGCAAACTATCGTGTATCGAATGAAATTAAATTGTACAAGCGTCATCGGCGATCGCGCTCTATATGTAAATTCGCATGTGCGACGAGCTTCATAGATTTAGAGATCTCCCACATTCTCGCGAGATTTGATGAGATTTCGATCGACTGTTCACGGAGAAGTGAGTGCAATCATCTGTGACGTTGGAGTCCTTAATTTTTTTTTTTAAAGTTCTTTTTTCGTCTAAGTATCCGTTCATCATTGTTCAAATTTGGGTTCAGAGGACACCGAAAAAAATAGCAAAATTCTTTTTGCGTAACACGCGTTACATTGCATATATTTTGTATCATTATTTTACTGTTTATTTTGTTTTTTTTTCTATTTTAGAACGACTTGATTAATATTACTTAGTTGTGATGTGACAAGGATACATCGAGTCTGTTGATCTGTGAACAGTCCCATCAGGAAATCAGTTGATCCGCCGAATTCCACACGGATGGGGATCCGCGTCCCTTATTCAAACGGGCGTGCGAAAACCCGAAATATAAAAATAAAATTGAATCAAAACTGTACCGCGCGAAGCTTCGTCCGCGTGAATGCATTTTTCGTCTAACACATTTGTTAACTATAATCCGTTTCACTTACGACGAGGCACATAAAGCACGCGTGTGTGAATGGCAAGCGCCATGGTATGCATGTGTAAAATGCGTGTCTGTGATTGTGAGTGCTCTTGTATGCATGGAGAAAATATCGACGCCAAGATATAAACCGGTTTATATACTACAGTTGGGCTTTCGGAATCGCGGAAGGGTTGAAAGAGATAATGTGCGAGCAAACTGATCATAAGTGGGAGAGAAAGAGAGAGAGAGAGAGAGATAGCGAGAGCGCTATACACTCGTTCGTATCACGATGTGTGTGTACTGTATAAGATATACAGTTTACAATTATTTGTAACGGATACTTTTTATTTGTCAAATAAAAGTTAGTACAAAGGAAAAATGCGCCTTGTTTTTTCATCCAGTCAAGTTTAATCGAGCGGAACGAATCAGCGTTGTTTCTACCTTTCAATATCACGCATCGTAATTAAGTAAAAATACGATAAATAGAATTTTAAGTTTAACTCTTTTTAATTAATTTTCGAAATTATAATAAATACCTCACACAAGTGCTAGGGTAGAACCATATCCAAGACAACGTGTTCATCAAACATGTCATACCGCGGAAAATAATAACCGTGCGTTTTCCAATTACTTAGAAAATTACATTATGTATTTAAATTACAAAGAACTTCACGATAACAGAATAAATACATTCTTCATGAGCGAGTGATCGAAAATTGAGTATGTAAAAACATTAATCATTACTCGAACCCTAATATCTCTTCACCGAATTTACTTAGGAATATTGGTAGAAAATTAAATGGCATGTAGCGACCGAACCGGAAACAAAGAGTTGCTAGTCGAGAAAATTATAACACAACTTGCGTTTTATGATATGCGTTCAGTCATTTGGCGAATCTCCTGGCACATGCCAGTTTATTTTTCGTAACTTCAAGACTTGAGAGACATGAAGACACATTGTGACGAAAGGTCCAAGTTAAATTCGAAATACAGTAAGATATTAAAATTTATAATATCAATTCTATTATTTTTTAAAATTATTTTCATTTTTTTTCCATTTTCTGTCATATTGAACAAACTAATTCATGTATATCGCAATATTGTAGAACCTCACAATTGCTTGGTACAAAGCATAAGAACGTATTTAAATGATTGGCTTCACGTTTATTGTAAAAATACGAGCTTGCACGGCTTTCGCTACATAACGATGAACGGATCGAAGATAATCGAGAGTTTCTTTTGGTTTATGGTGAGGCTCGCGCACAATTGTGAAGAAAAGAACCAGCATGAAAGCATTTAATATATTTGTCGAAATTTCATATTTGATATTTGATCGAATATTTTATGCCTGACCTGTTATTTACGCTTGACAGCTTTGTATAGCCGCTATTATATTCTGCGTTATACTCATGCTACGTTTATGGGCGAATTATTCGAACAATCCTATAGTGACGACCATTTACACGTCGAAACCAATATGGGATCTGTTCTTTCCAGCTGTTACCATATGTAACAATAACAAAGTCTATCGCCCGCACGCCGACATTATCGCTGAATACCTGTAAGATATTATTCGTTTTATATAAGTAAAATTGATTCCCCGATTTTGGTTGGCGGAATTAAATTTCGCGTCCGATATTACATCTCGTGTGAAACAATTCTGCGCGATTCAACAGACACACGAATGGATTTAGCAGAAATGAGAGCGACAGGTTCTTTTCCTCTCTTATAAAGCTGATCCGGCCTGATAAAATCTCGATTGGCAATGTAACTGCGAGGGAGGTTCTCGATAATCTTGATATGTCGGTGGAAACGCTTATGCTGCAGGTAATATATATATCTTGTCGTGCTAGTAATTATTATTTTAATTTATTCATGTTTTTATAATTATTTTCATATACATATTTAATAATCGACATTTTATATAAGGATTGGTATATATTTAATATTTTAATAAAGATGCAAATTTTTGATTTAAAATCAATAACCATGATATTGCTCGCAGTTAATGCAGCCTTGCAGCGCATTGCTAGTGAGATGCGCCTGGCTCGGGCATATTTACGATTGCAGCAAAATCTTCAAAACGGTCAAATCCAAGGAGGGTTTCTGCTGCGCTTTCAACTCCCACTACTATTTAAACATCGAGCACAAGTCAAATTTCTGATAATTAATAATTAATTAATTAGTAGCTATTATTAGCTATTATTAGCTGTTAGTAGTAGATTAATGTAATAGCTTGCTGAAAGTAACAAATTTACTACTAATAGCTACTAATGGCCACTAATAACTACTGTTATTTTCAGCAAGCTACTAAATTATTTCATATTCAAGCACGTTTTAATTTTCAAATTAGATCTGATTACACTTACAACAATTCCACCGATTTTAATGTCACATCCGAGGATCTGCCGGGTGTTCAGGAAATTTTGGTAACATCAATATTTATTTGAACGGTATTTTTTTTACTTTCCAACAAGTACGCAGTATGTACTCTCGTTTTTGTGCAGAAAGCTCCAGGGAGCGGCCGCGATGTGGGACTCGCGGTTGCCTTGAACGTCGAGCGCGATACGTACAAAGCTACTTCGCGACCTTACGTAGGTGCCACCATCATGATACACGACGCGATCGATTTTCCCGACATTGGCACACAGTTCGCTTCCGTGCCACCTGGTCACGTCTTGGCAATATCCGTTTCCGGTACTTCCATCAAAAGCGCGGAGAATCTGCGCAACCTACCGCTGGAAAAACGTTTGTGCTATTTCGGAGACGAGGTGAATACACACGCATGCCTTTACCAAACGGGAAAAAAAAATCTATATTTGTTCACGCGAAATTCTAAACTTCACATATTTGTAATGGACACCTGCAGATACCGGGTGAAACCTATTACAGCTATCAATCGTGCGTGTCGGAATGCGTAGCCAAGTATACACAGAGCGTCTGCAACTGCCTGCCATTTTATTATCCGAAGATGCGTAAGTCCGCAGATGATTGAACATTTAAATATGAAAGCCCAGTCGTTGTTCTACAGATACTTTTCAAACGGAGATCTCAAAATTCAGCTTGAACGCGATAACATTAAAATAATTCCTGTGACGTTAAAAAATAATCAAAGTGACACCGGTATGTTCGACGTGTTGACAGGTAAAGGAATGAAGACATGTTACTTTCCCGATATAGAGTGCCTCTTGAATGCCCGAAGTAAGTTTAATTTCGCGCATATTAAATTGCTACAATAAGATACACGTATATTCAGTTGCGCAGAGTATAACGTTATATTGTTTTTTTTTTTAAATCAAGAGTCAACATCAAAACATGTCAAAAGCACAGGAACTGTGCAGGGAACTTGCAGGGAGTGTCTACCACAATGCTCCGATATGTTGTACCATATTAATGTAGAAAACATTAAGATGGATGACGTGGGCTTCGATTCCGATATAACGTGAGTGCATTCATTTTTTCATACAGCGAGAATGCCTTCTCTACAAATGAGAAATTATTTGTATCATTATATTTTGACAAAGATATTACTGTTTATTTAACTAATATCTCATGCTTCCGCAGACATGATTTGGACGTGCACAATATATCTTTCGCGTACGTATTCTTTGGTGACGTATCGTATGTCGAGTATCGTAAAGAGAGCAGCATCAGCTGGGACTCGCTCATTGGTAAGTTTCCGAAGCAGCGATGGAGAACATTCGCTCTTTTAATCGATTTAATGTAAGCCACACGATTTTAATGAAGGCATGCAAATTGCTTCAGCATCCTTCGGCGGTATCTTCGGCCTCTGCCTCGGCGGCTCCGTGATAAGTGTGATAGAATTGATTTATCTCCCGATCCGACAATTCTTCGAGAAACAGCGCGGTAAGACACGTGGACAATCGCTCACAGCATTGCCACCGGCATCAAAAATATTTATACCTTTATCAATCTCCGAAGATAAAGTTTGGCGGCAGAAGTTACGAAGGCATAAAAAATGTAACGATATTTTTGTCATCAACCAACCTTTCATGATACAAGAAAATGGATACTTTCCGATATTTTCGCGAACTCATCAAGTTTTAAGCCAGAGCTGCGCAACTCGCTGAAATCGGGAGTTTAACGCCGTCATCGCGATGTCCGCATTTCACTTCGCGAGTCGTCGAATTTCTTTCTAATTATACATGCCAGTTATATATCCGCTACTAATTATAACTTCCTACCATTTTTGTACCTCCTTATCACTTTCATATTCCGCGTGCTGATACCGAAAGCCGTATCGCCGATTTTAGAATATGACATATTTCACGGAAAAGAACACGCTTTACTCCATCTATCCCTTGATTTTTTAAAATAAAAAATACAGAAATTGCTGCCGGCTATTTGCGATGTTGACTGGCGAGCAACTCAGTTGAGCAGCTCTGTTTAAAATTCTTTCGCAGCGTATTTTAAACAAATAAACTGCTACGGATTTGCGTTAGGATTACAAAATGTGTGAAAACTGCTTAAGAGCATAATGTTTATTATACAGTTCACAATAAAGTAACAACGAAAATAATAATAAGTATTTTATTTTAGCAGAAGCTAATTTAATTCAGCGTTACAAAAAATATGTATCTCATGTCAAAAAAGAAATAAAAGCAAATAGCGAAGTATCAATCTTCTCTTTCAATTTAGAAAAAAAAAAGAAACAAAATTTATATTATAACACAAATATTTCACATTTTGCTTTGCCTCCTGGTTGTTGGTGGAAGTAAGCTATCGGTCCCCTCGTGCAGGATTTCTTCACGATATGCTCCGGAAATAACATGCGCTTTAAATGTATAAAAAAGCAGGGACTCAGCAAGCAATAAAGTATGAAATTTGTCGAGCTTGCCAGCGCGTTGAGGAGGGTTGCCCACATGCGAAATCTGCGAAAATGCGTGGTCCGCAAATCTTCAGGGAAATGGTAACAGCGGTTTTGGCATTCAACAAATGTGAACGATTAATGTTTGAAAATTGAAAAAGAATGTTTCTCTCATACATCGTTTATCTTCAACCCGAGAAAGGTCGGGAATAGAAGATCTTTCAGATTTAGTAGAAATTATTAAGGCGCTTAATATGTCCTGGTATACTTTTTCTCCCTTTTGTTTCAAATAATTAAAAAATCTAACAACCAACATTATATGCAACTTATTTTTAATAACATTTTTTACATGGAATTCCCACGCAAATTTTCGCTTGAAAAGCTAAAACTGTACGGACATTTCCGACCTATGGATGATATTAATATTGCGTATTCAAAAATCACTCACTTTTCCATAAAGGTCTCGTGAACTTTAGTGACATCGCCGCCGTAAAGCAGGGACACGGCGCTGCGACGTGATGCAAAGTGAGTTGGCAGCTCGCCCACGAGGAACAGGAAAACAATGCCGACCAGCATAATCGTTAACCGCGCTTGATCCTGGCAGATTGCAAACAAAATGCAATGCATTAAAGAAAGCAAATATGTGCGATTTCTTTATTATCGATAATATAATATATCAAGTCAATTGAAAAAATTTTTTCCATCAATTTTAATGGAAAAGTAAACATGCCGAAAAAATTGATTATCAGAAATAATTGCTGTCCTTTTTTGACACTCTTGACACTTTCTACGATAATTTCTATTTTTTGATACTTTCATATCTCTTTATTTAATTAATTTATTTTCATTTACAAAATTTTAATAAATTTTAAATTAAATTGCGATGCAAATATTTTTAAAATAGCTTGATATAAAGTTTTTATATTAAATCAAGAGACACGGTAGTGTCTCGCGCCAAGTTCACGCGCAGCGCGCAACGCAAGCGCAAGACCGACCGTGTATCTTTACGCGAGCCCGAAAGTTGAGACGAGCCGAGATTATCGGATCTCGATAACGGCTGGGCCGATTGAGTTGGCAATAGGCTCAATCGATAGCGCATACCCAAATTACATAAGAAAAGTCTGCTTGTTTTTGCTCTGTGTGCTTTATAAAAATAAATATATGCATTCAAAGTCGAGAAATCTAGAAAATCATCTCGCTAGGATGTATGTCGCGTTGATATGTATGTCGCTCGTGTCTTATTGGTCAGCGTCATTCTAACATGGCGGCGCTCAGACCTGTCAGCTCGCAGTTTTGATGTATATATTAATTACATTTATATATTAGTATCGATCGTAAAATGTATATATAACGTGTTGTGGAGACGAATAAAGATAGTGTATATCAAAAATAATAGTATTCTTCATAAAAAAAATTTTTTTCGATCTTAAAGTGCAGAAGTGTACACTCTCAGTATTCTGTAGTTAGTTAATTAGTGGACAGAAAGTGTACTTCGTGCAGATGGTGGAATCTGCAAGTTTCTGACGTTAGGTGCGCTGATGGCGCTGAGAAGCCGCGCGGCGCGCGCTTACGTTTGTTTGGCTATTTGCTCATTTAAATTTTTAGATGTTACATAGAAAAATATTAAAATTTTATAGTTATTTGAGTTATTAATTACTAAAGATGTCCGAATAAGCGCGTATCAATCCAGCCTGCCGCCGAATGCAAGCGCGCGAAGAGATGCAACCGCTCAGCGATTATGATCGCTTTCAAGCGTTTCAAAAATCCTCCTCCCTAAGTGATAAAAATATCGAAGTTGTTTTAATAGGTTTGCCATATGATTAAAATGTTTATAATCAGTACAGCAGCGTTACAAACTTTTGTCCTAGGTTTCCACGCACACAATCGAGGGACCATGTTCATGTGCTGCGCAGAACGCTTTACGCAGCACATGAACATGGTCTTTTGATTGTGCGTGGTAACCCAAGCCAAGAATTGGTAACGCTGGAATACAGACTAATGCAGGCAGAAAATTATTAAAATTTTATAGAAAGAAAATTTAAGCATTTATTATTGGCATTTAAAAATGTAATAACTATACAAAAATGAGTTAAAGATTTTTGGAATTTTAAAACAATCTATTTCTCTTATTTCATATAAAACACTAAATAAATTTTTACTATACGAACAATTACAATATCATTAACATTAATTTAACTTTTTTAATAAAAAAAATTTCCAATTAATGCATCTCAATATAATATTTATTTATTAAAACATCTTTTATTTACTATCTACATTGAGTTTACATTTTATAAAGTACAAACATTGTTTTTTATCTAAATAAATTTCCATTAAGTTTTATGAATACTATTCGAACTCGTATTAAAAGCTTTGCATTCTAACACACACGAAAAATGGAGACATCTAATTCTACAGCCGGCAAAACTTCGTCGAATAACAATACCACGCGTGGTGAGAAAGTAAGTGCATTATAGCAAGTCATTTTATAAAATTAATTTTATACCGAAATTAATTCGTTTAGGTGAAAACATTGGAAGATAGTTTTTCATTTACATTATACTCGTGCACGAAAATAAACTATAATATTACAAATAGAGAACATAGAACTTTAAGGTACATACTAAAATTTAAAAAAACCTTCCAAAAAAAGTTGTTGTATATATAAACACGCAAACCTTACAAAAAAGTTGTTGTGTATTTTACCTAACAAAAAAGTTGTTGTATATTTGAAAATCAACAAATT